CTGTCTGTCTGTATCTATCAGTTTGAGTTCTAGTCCAGACTTAGGCCCGAAAGCCAGCTGGGTGAGACTTTGGACAAGTCATTCACTCTCAACTCACCTCAATTCACAGGATTGTTATGGTGGGGAAAATAGGAGGAGGAAAGAGTATGGTGTATCTTCGCCACCTTGAGTGATTTGTAAAAATAATGAAGGTGGGGTGCAAATAAGTCAAAATAAAATAAAATTTAAGTTTGTTCCAAGAGAATGACATTTTAGGGAACTACATTGGTGCAGTGATTAGAGTGCAGTTCTGCAGTCTACTTCTGCTGATGGTTTGGCAGATCGAATCTCACCAGACTCAAGGTTGACTCAGCCTTCCATCCTTTTGAGGTCGGTAAGACGAGGACCCAGATTGTTGCAGGCAATGTGCTGACTCTGTAAAATGAGGGCTCTAAAGCACTATGAAGCAGTATAATAAAATGACACTTTTTGCCCCTTTTTTTCTTTCTCCAGATAGGAAAAATCTTAACAAGCTTAATTAGATGTCTGGCCATTCAGCCAAAAGCAATTCACACCTCCTAAAATGTAACAATGCTGAATCAACAAACCAGCCAAGTGCTTGCCTGAAGGAAACCATTGAGAAAACTCAGATAGCCGATAGGAAAAATCCCTGCCTTGCCCTTAAAGGGATTATCCCCAAAAGAATAGAAATCATGTAGCTATAGGAACTCTCTGCCTTGCCCTTGAGAGGATTATCTCCCCAAAACAGAAACTGGACAGAAGAAGTACCTCTTAAGGCAGTCTTCAAATCTTTCGTAGTTGGCTTCTCCCAGGTAGAAGGAACCGGGAAATTTTACTGCAGGATGCTGCGGTAAAAATATTCAAAGCTTTTTTTCAGCCCTAATGATGTGCTAAGAGTGAAGCGATCTTGGTTTGCCAGAAATGGGGAAGATCGCTTCACTCGTCAGCACCTCGTTAGGGCTCGGGGAAAAAGCTTCCAAAAAGCTACATTCAGAGTATAAGACGCACCCAAATTTCCACCCTCTTTTAAGGGGGGGGGGGAAAGGTGTGTCTTATACTCTGAGAAATATGTTTAAGTGCTATTGCTATTGCTAACCCCCGATTGTGAAGGAGAGAGGGGAGACTCCATGGGGAGGATTAGGGTTGAACGAGGCCAAGAGGCCAAATTGCTTTGAACGCTAATGAGTGTTGGTCTCATCAATCCCGCTTCCCACCTGCAGAAAGGAAAGCTAGCGACAGCAGCAGAGGCAAATACGACGATGGGGATGGTTGCTACTTGAAGAAGAAGAAGAAGAAGCATCAGCACCAGCACCAGCAGCAGACCCCTCTTCGTCAACCTTCGGCCCTCAGCTCCAGCAGCAACAGCCAGAGGGTTGAGCGCCCAAGGAGCAGCTCTTCCTCCGTCAGCCTGATGGCCAAGAAGCTAGTCATCCGGATGCTGATTGTGATTGTCATCTTGTTCTTCATCTGTTGGACGCCCATCTTCAGCGTCAACACCTGGAGGGCCTTTGACCCCACCTCTGCTCAGCTCCTCCTCTCGGGAGCTCCCATCTCCTTCATCCATTTGCTCTCCTACACCTCCGCCTGCGTGAATCCGATCGTCTACTGCTTCATGAACAAGCGCTTCCGCCTGGGTTTCCTCGCGACCTTCACTTGCTGCGCCAAGGCGCGCCTCCCGGCGGTCCGAGCAGAGATGGGAGAGGACGAGGAAGGGAAGACAACCAGAGCGTCCCTCTCCAGGTATTCTTACACCCACATGAACATGACTGTCCCTCCGTGATTGGCAGACAAGGAGGAGAACATTGTAAGCATGACAACTCCGACCGTCACCTGCATGCATCAAGCCCATCTAAAAATGGTTTGGCGCTTTTGGATTTCCTGCTCAAGCAGGGGGTTGGACTAGAAGATAGATAGATAGATAGATAGATAGATAGATAGATAGATAGATAGATAGATAGATAGATAGATAGATAGATAGATAGATAGATAGATA